TGGAGATAAAAATATCCACCTCCAACTATGGTTAAAAGGTTAGATGAACTAATGTCTGTTGGGCTTGGCTTCCAGAGAGGTTGAATACATTATCCACCTGTCTCCCTCTCTCCTGGAGGCAGGCAAGTCTTTATCTCCGCCCTAGAAGCACCTGGCGCCTTGGGGAGTGCCTTTCTCCACAATGCAGACACTAGCACCTTCCAGGGGAGGCTGGAGGGTTGAGGCGGGTTAGAGAAGTGGTCGGCCTGCGTGGATATTCAGGAAATGTTTGTTTCCTGCCCCTGCCCACTGCCTCTAAGCGCTGCTGGAATTGAGGGCCAGTGACTCACCTCCTGACCTCGGTAATGTCATCTGCACTGTGGGTTCGGTAATGCCTGCTGCCCGGGGGGGACACGGATTGAATGTGCATCAAGCAGCTGGCCCAGTGCCTGGCGAGGAGCGGGCAGGGTGTCCTTCACTTACCCTGGGCTGGGCGTTTAAGCGAGTTGAGGTTTTGTCCTTAGATCTGTTGTGCGGCCGAAGGCCAGTCTCCTCCAGTTCCGGGCTTTAGCTCTCTTATCTATAGAATGGGGACAACAGCACTTCAGTTGAAGGGTTATCGTGAGAATGTGTGCAAAACCCCTGGAACACAGTACGTGCTCTTGCATGTCTCTCTGGTCAGACCTGGGCTCCAATTCTGAGTCTGCTTCTTACCGTTGACCTTGAGCAGACCCTTCTCTGAGCTTCAGCTGCCCCGACCGTAAAGTGGGAAACACTGTCCTTCCCATGAGAGCTGTGAGGATTACCTGAGGCAAGGTGTTAGCGGCAGCACAGTCCTGGCACATAAACTGTGCACAATAAGTATGCGTGCCCTGCAGCTACATCCCACCCCTCCGCCTGGACTTGTCATCAAAAAATGAGGCTTCTGCCCAGCCAGCATGACTCGGTGGTTGAGCCTCCACCTATGAACCAGGAGGTCAGGGTTCGATTCCCGGGCAGGGCACATGCTCCAGTAGCAAGCTCGATCCCCAGTGTGGGCCGTACAGGAGGCAGCCAATCAATGATTCTCTCTCAGCATTGATGTTTCTAGCTCTCTCTCGCTCTCCCTTCCTCTCTGAAATCAATAAAAAATATATTTAAAAAAAGGAAGTCCCTAATCCAGTTCCATCACCATGAGCTGCCCCTCTGTGGGCAAACCCCTTTCTCTTTCTGGAACTCACCTTCCTGTCTATGAAATGGGACAATTAATTCAACAAACATTCCCCAATAAGAATCCGAGTACCAGTAGGAAAGATTAAGTGATGTGCTCAACAGCTAGTCCATGCACAGGCAAGGCTGGAAACTGGGTTTTCTGAGTCTCAAGACGCCACACGTATTTGGATCACCTATTGTGTGCTGGTCACTTCCCTGGGCTCTGCGTACTCTTCACTGGTTTGAATCCCTACCCCAAACCCTCCGGGGAGATTTTCTAAGGACCGGCCCCAAAGCGGGGCCGTCCCATATTGCTCCCTCCCTGGAGGGTCCCGAGGAGAGGGTGTGAGCACCGGCAACCGCAGCCCCCGCCCCTCCCCCGGACCACGCCCCTCCCCGAGGGCGGCCCCTTACCTGCCGCCTGGTGCATCTGCCCCGGAAGGCGCCACGGCTGGGCAGCCGCTGGCCGCCCCGGGCGGGTCTCTGCCTGGGTGGCCCCGCCGAGCCTCGCTGCTGTGGAGGTCCCGCTGCCCCCTCCTTCCCTGTCTTCCTCCGTCCCCCGCGGCTGAGGCCGCATCGATCGCTGCCGGGGAAGGAGGGAGGCCGCGGGCGGGCGGCGGAGGCGGTGGTTTCTATTCCTGACTCGGTCCGGGGGTGTGAGGGTGTCTGGGGACTGGGCCCTGCGGCTGGGACATCCTCCCAAGCCGGAGACCAGGGGAGGAGCAGTCATGTAGGGGCCGGGTCCCTCCTAAAGAGCAGCAGTAATCACAGCTCCGCAAATGATGCGCCCGCCGCTCTGCCCAAGGTGACTTGTCCAAGGTACAAACTTGACAGGGACAGGAGGAGCCCCTGTCACCTGCTCAGGGCACTTAGCTAGGACTTGTGGCCTTGAGACAAGAACTCACCTCCTCTGCACTGGGAGGCTGCCCAGGGGGTCTGCACTGGGAGTTGGAGAAAGTGGCCTCACCCCCTGTGAGCCCCAGGCCTGCGGAAGACCTGCGCTTCCCCTGCTGGCTGTGAAGGAGGGAACAGATCCTTTGCCCCTTGAAGTTCAGTCTCCTCACCTGCCCAGAGGTTCCCGATTCCCACCTCACCTCCGAGTGGGCTGTGGGAGTAAGGAAGGACGCTGACCAAGAGTTTGTGTAATCTGCAAGCATTTATTGAGCATCTACTGTATGCCTGGTTGGGGAGAGCGTGCCAGAGATTAGACCTGGATACAAGAAAGGATCTCTACTTTACAAATATTAATTGTTATTAATAATAATGACCAACATTTATATTGGGCTAAGTATTCTATAGGGCTCTCTCATTCAAGCTGCAAATATATCTGTGGGGTACTTGCTATTATTATTCCAACCTCACAGATAAGAAGTGTAAGGCTCCCCCAGTCTGTCTGATATCTTTCTGGAAATAACCTCTCCAACTCCAGGGGGGAACCCCCTGACTTTTGGGGGGATTGAAGGCTGCAGACAGAGTACTAGGGCAGGAAATGGGAGACCTGCTGCTCTGCAGATCTGCCTCAGTTTCCTTGTTGGGAAAATAAGGGAATTGGCTAAGATGAGCACTAAATGTCTCCTGTTCTTTCTAATTTTGTGGGAAGAACTGACGTGATAAAGCCTAGAGCTGCACTCTCCACGATGGTAGCCACTAGCCACATGTGGCTACAGAGCACGTAAAATGTGATTAGTCCAATTGAGATTCACTGTAGGTGTGTGTAGTGGGCAGAATTCTAAATGATTGCCAGTGACCCTTGTCCCTGTATAAGCTCCTCCTCTTTGAGTGTAGGTACAGCCTGTGAATGTGTGTCATATGGCAAAAGGGAGATTGTCATGGGTGGGCCTGGCCTAAGCTGGTGAGCCCTTTAAAAGCAGGGCATTTTCTCTGGCTGGTCACAGAAGAGGAAGTCAGCACTCTGGTTTGCTTGGAAGAAAGCAAACATCCATGCTGTGAACTGCCTATGGGGCCACATATGAAGAAACCACATGTAGCCGCAGACAGCCAGAGGAAAAGGGGACCTCAGTCCTACAACCACAAGGAAGTGAATTATGCCTGTAATCTGTGTGCTTGAAAGAGAACCCCAAGCCCCAGATGAAAACCATAGCCCTGGTTGATATCTTGACTTCAAGTGAGACCCTGGGTAGAGAATCCAGCCATGCTGTGCACAGACTTCTGACCTATGGAAACTGTGAGAGAATAAATGTGTATTGCTTTAAGTTGCTAAGTTTGTGATAACTGCACAACAATGAAAAATTAATACACTGGATTTTGAAGACTTAGTACAAAAATGAAAATGCAACATCTCATTAATAATTCATTGATTCCATGTTGAGATTATAATATTTGGGATATACTGAGTTACATAAAATATATTATTAAGACTAATTTCAGCCCTGACCGGTTTGGCTCAGTGGATAGAGCGTCGGCCTGCAGACTCAAGGGTCCCGGGTTCGATTCCAGTCAAGGGCATGTACCTTGGTTGCAGGCACATCCCCAGTGGGGAGTGTGCAGGAGGCAGCTGATCGATGTTTCTCTCTCATTGATGTTTCTAACTCCCTATCCCTCTCCCTTCCTCTCTGTAAAAAATCAATAAAATTTATATTTTAAAAAAAGACTAATTTCATAATGGGGGGATAAGGACACATATGTAATACTTTAATCAATAACGAAATTTTTAAAAAGACTAATTTCACCTGTTTTCTTCTTTTTAATGTTGCTATCAGAAAACTTTCAATTATATGTGTGGCTCGCATTATATCTATTGAACAGTGCTGCTCTAGAGGACTCAGAAGTTAGGTATATGACCTTGGGCAAGTCACTTCACCTCTCCAAGCCTTACATTTGTGTAATCCCTTCCTGACTTGTTTCTAATGAACAGAATGGGATAAAAGTGATGGAGTGTCACTTCCAGGATGAGGTTACAGGACATCTTGGCACCGGGCTGGTTTTGATGAAGCAAATTGCCATGCTGGTAAGGCAAGGAAGTAAAGGCAACTTCCCACCAACATCCAGCTAGGAGCTAAGGGATGAAATTCAAATGCCCTCAAGAAACTGAAATTCTGTCAACAACCACATGAACTTGAAAGTGGATCCTTCTCCAGTAGAAGCTCAAATGAAACCCCAACCTTGGCCAGATTCTATCAGCGCACAAGCGGCGACCCAGCAGGTAAAGCAGGGAGGATTCTGCTCACCTCCATCCTCTCCCCAAGCAAATCCAGATAAAAGGGACCCCCAGGAATCCAGCTATCAGGGTCCAGGAATGTCCCTTGGGATGGCTGTCATTCCCTCATTGACTCCCCTCCTTCTTATCAAGGCCCTGACTACAGATGGGGACCCTCAAGAAATGGAGGTGAGCCCTGGTCGGTGTTGCTCAGTGGTTAGAGTGTCAGTCTGCACACTGGAGGGTCATGGGTTTGATTTCCGTCAAGGGCATGTACCTGGGTTGCAGGTTCGCTCCCTGCCCCCGTCAGAGAGCATGTAGGAGGCAACCAGTCAATGTGTCTCTTTCACATCAATGTTTCTCTCTCTTTCTCTCTCTCTCTCTCTCTCTCTTTCTCTCTCTCTTTCTCTCTCTCTTTCTCCCCCTCACTCTCTCTCTTCAACTCTCTCTGAAAAGCAAGGGGAAAAAATATCCTCAGGTGAGGATTAACAAAACAAAAAGACAGAAAAGAAAATGGAGGTGAATGAAGTGTTGTCCAATGGTGGAGACAGACCCTCCCCAAAGTATGACATCCCAACGACTCAAGCAACATTTCCCCAAATGTGGAGCAATTTGAAATGACCTTAGGGTGTACCAGGATGCAACATTATCCAACAATGACTCGGAGTGAGTCTCAGGTTAGAGGCGTGTGTCTTTAATCTTCACTTATTACAACAGAGAGCAGGCTTTACAGTCTTGGCAGGTGGCAGCATCTAGCTAGAATTTAATAACATTATTTAATACTGTTTAATCGGACATGATTTTAATGGAACATAGAGGTTTTCATTGCATTCGCTTTCAGAATCACATTCTACTTGTGCCAAGTGATCCTGCGTATCCTGTTTATAGCAGTCACATCAAGTTTTTCTTTGGAAATTACTTATATACAAAAGTGAGTCCACTTAAGGAAAAGCATTCGATAAACAGGAGGACAGGCAGTACACCAAACGTCACGACGCTATTTTGCAGGCGTGGCGAACATTGAGTAAGGGGGGACGTGAACAGACATGTTCCGGAAACTGCTGGAACGTACACTCAGGGCTGGGGAGGGGCCAGGACCCCACACAGAGAGGACTATCTGAATTGGGCATTTTAGGTGGAAGAAACTCATACACAGAGATGTGAAGGTGGGTGTTAGGAAGGACGAGGAGCTCAGTGTGGTGGTGGTGGTACGGAGAGGAGTCCGTTGAGGTCTGGCCATGGACCTTGATTCCCAGGAGGAAAAACCCGGTGGATGGCTGCCGGGGAAGTCACCACGGATCGGTGTTTATCAGGAGGTTGGAACTGTCGCCGGCAGAGACAGTGCTGCTGGGTGGCAGGTCCCAGGCCCCGTCATCAGCCCTTCCTGCAGGGAACCTCATCCTGAGGTTCAGAGCCACAGATCCTAAACCAGAATTAGCCTGAGGAGAGAGAAGGAAAGGGTTAACCCCTCCCATAATAGGGCTCTGATTCTGGGCTTGATGGCCCATCCAGACCCATCAACCCAGGCCTGGTGGCCCCGAAGGCAGGACTCCCTCCTCCCCCATCCTTCACAAGGGCAGCCGGAAGCTCAAAGCAGTTCAGGGTTGTGGTCCAGGGGACAAGTTCACCAAGAGAACCAAGGATCCCCAGTTCCTCCATCATTCTACCAGGAACCCTCACACCCCATCCACGTCCCCTTTCATGGCCACAGGGAGGCCCAGGCTTCTGGGAAGGTTCCCACTAAGTGTGTTGACTGCATGGTATCTGAGAGCTGGGCTCGGAGAGGGGAAGAGCCTGCCCAGCACACGGGACATACCTCTGACCGGGTTCCGGCAGTCCCGGCCGCAGGCCCCAAGGCAGCAGCGGCTCTTGCCCCTGCAGTCTGCGTCCTGGTGGCACAGGTGCTGAACGGGGCCGAGGCAGCGCAGCCGGTCCTCAGGGCAGGTGCCCTGCTTCACTGCAACACAGGGGCCGGTGAGCCTGCCCGGGCCTGGCCCTGGGGCTCGGGGCTTGGGCGGTCAGCAAGGTGGAGGGGGACACTTACCTGCGACTCTACGGACGCACTGGCGGAAGCAACTTCTGTGGCAGCACTTCATCTTTGAGGGACACTGGCTGTCGTCCACGCACTGGTCAGGCACCGAATGGAGGCAGGGCCCATCGTCCGGTGGACACCCGCCATGTCTCTCTGGAAGAGAACCCCCCAGATATTGCGGCTGGAGGCAGACCAGAGTTCTGGAGTAAGGGCTGACCCGGGACTCACCCGCTCTGCGTACTCCTCCCTTTAGTTCTTGCCTGACCTTCGGCGAGTTATTAGTTGTATTTTGTTGATGGACTTGCTTTTATTTCTTTATTTTTATTTAGTTCTTTCATAGAGGTATAATCGACATACAACGTTATGTTAGCTTCAGATGTACAACATAATGATTCAATATTTGTATATATTACAAAATGATCGCCCCAATAGGTCTAGTTAACATCTGTCGCCATGCATTGTTAAAATTTTGTTCCTTATGATGAAAACTTTTAAGCTCTACTTTCTTAACAACTTTGAAAGATGCGACACAGGACTATGAACTGTGGATGCCGTGCCACATGACATCCGCATGACTTATTTGTTTTCTGACTGCAAGCTTGTGCCTTTGAATCCCCTTCACCCATTTCGCTCACCCTCCACCCCTCCACTCCCGGCAACCGGTCTGGTTCTCTGTATCTACGAGCCTGGTTTTCTTAGTTTTGTTTTGTGTTTTAGATTTCACATGTAAGTTTTAGATTCCATGGCATTTGTCTTTCTCGGTCTATTTCACTCAGCATAATGCCCTCACGGTCCATCCACATCACAAATGGCTGGCAACTTTTTAAAAATGTTTCCTCCAAGCCTCAGTTTTCTGTTTATGACATGGGAAGCTGGACACCCTCCTTCCGGGCAGGTTTGAGACTCAGATGACATAAAGGATGGGGGCGCAGGGGTGAAGTTCAAAATCTCCACCTGCGCCAACCAGGCTGCTCCTGGCCTGGCCCCTGCCCGTCTCTCTGGCCTCATCCTCTTCACTCTTGTGGCTCCTGAGCCACTCCAGTCCTCTGCTCTTTGCAGGGGCTCGCGTTGGCCATGCCTTCGCCTGCTGCTCTGTCCGACACCCATTCATCAGGTCTCAGCGGAAACACCACGTCCTCAGGAGACCCTGCCTCGCTGACCCTAGATGAACTCTGTCAGCCCCACACACTCCCAGAGGCTCCTCCTTCAGTTCATGATTCTGTCTCTATTTGTCTGCCTCTCTCACTTGGCCGGCAGCTATGACAATAGACCCCCCTGACCGTTTTGCTCACCAATAGGCTGATGCACAGCCCTTGACACAAAACACTAGGGGCTCGGTGATGATTTGAAAGAAAGGTTTTGAAGGGAGACCCAGCTTCGCAGGTGTGTCAGGTGTTGGCAGCCTGGCACACTGTCACACAGCCACCACCGGCCACATGGGCACTGTGCTCGTCACTGCTGCCAGTGGCATTGTTCCAGGGATCTGTATCAGCTGGGTCTCCCAGCCAGTCCTCTGAACGGTTCTAGAATGTTTTGCCCTGGGGCTTACCTAGCCACTTTTCTCGTTAGGATTTTGGGCCATTTCCAGATTTCGTGCAAAAGGCTCGCAGCAATAGCTTCCTCCATGTAGAGGGCGGAAGCAAGGCTGGAAAGGGACAGTGATCACCCAGACCCCCCCTGACTCGGAGTCCTCATCTCCCAGGGCAATGCTCCTTCTGTCCTGCCCACCCCTCTGCTCTGGCCGCTGCTGGGCCCTGGGGGCAGGAGCTGGTCCCTGGCCTTCCAGCATCTGAGAAAAGGGTCAAGAGCCACCAGAGGCAGCTGGTTCCAGCGCTGTGACTTTTCCTGGTGTCCACCTTCCTCCTCCAGCCCTGACTGGGTGCTGGCTGCACACATAGTAGGCACCTTACTCACACAGTAAGCGTTCAAAGTCAACTTCAGTTGAGTAATTGAGTTGGCTTAAATGGAATTGCTGTTTCCTGCTGGATAAAAGGCAGCTTAGCTTTTGGGGGACCCCATACCCTGAGTAGCCTGTCCTTCACAGGCTGGGGCTGGGAGGGGCCTTGGAAGACTCTCTGGGGTCCAGCCCTGGTCAACGGGATTCAGGCCGCAAGGAGCTGGGCCAAACTGAGCTGCCTGCCCTCGGTGGAGTGGGGTAGGTCAGGTCTTAGAGCCACGGAGAGCTTCTGGGGGAAGGGCCAGGACCTTAGCCTTGAGGAAAGACAGACAGACAGGAAGGGAGGTGAGAACTGGCATTTCAAGTGGGAGAACTGTGGCGGCAGCAGTGGAGGTGGGAATACGAACCTGGAGGGACAGTGTGAGAGGGTCTGGTGGGTTACACTCAAGTCTTCACCTGCCTTCCTAACCTTCCCTCCCGATCCAGGTTCCCTGCCCACAGACGTGTGCCCAGAGACACGGTCATGTATACACACTGACAGCCACACAGTACTGTCTTCTGGATGTGCTGACTCAGAGAATGAGAGTCCTACCCAGTCACAGTTAAATATACATATTCATGCACACAGACATAGGTACACATGCATAGTCAACTATGCAAAGTGGTTCTCAACCTTCCTAATGCCGAGACTCTTTAATACAGTTCCTCATGTTGTGGTGACCCCCAACCATAACATTATTTTCGTTGCTACTTCATAACTGTAATTTTGCTACTGTTATGAATCGTAATGTAAATATCTGACATGCAGGATGTATTTTCATTGTTCGCGACCCACAGGTTGAGAACCGCTGAAGCATAATTAGCTATGGGCTTAACCATATGGAATGCTGATATTCAACTTTTTTGATCTACAAAAATAGCAACTTCATATGATCTGACCTATTCATATACGTGTGTGTGTGTCCAATATATAGCTATATATGTAAAATAATTATATATGTATAAACACAGTCATGTGAACAAATACAGGGTGTTCCAAAAAATGTATACACACTTTGAATAATTATAAAGGCAGTGTTTATTAAAATACATTTCATTTTCAAAATGTAATAAAGAGCCCAGCCGGTGTGACTCGGTGGTTGAGCGCCAACCTATGAACCAGGAGGTCACAGTCAGGGCACATGCCTGGGTTGCTGACTCAGTCTTCAGTGTGGGGTGTGCAGGACGCAACCAATCAATGATTCTCTCTCATCATTAATGTTTCTATTTCTCTCTCCTTCTCCCGTCCTCTCTGAAATCAATAAAAATATATTAATTTTTAAAAATTAATAGAATCTACAGGCATTGTATGTATACATTTTTTGGGGACACCCTGTATCTGTTCATATGAATAAATATACAGGCATACTGCCATATATACATGCCTATACACAAAAATACAGGGGAGGGAAAAGGTTTACAGTTGTTCTTATAGAAAAAATAAAATGATCAATAAATAATAATACAAGAATAAACTCTGTTTTGTGTACTCACAAATGCAAACTGACTTTTGCCCACCCCATACATATACACAGAAATTACACATACACCCAGACATGCAGTCATGTATATGTAAACATGTAACATGGGTGTGAATAGAGACACGAACATACACACACAGCCATGTGCACGGCCATATGCAAAGAGCTACAGACACAGGTCTCTTCACAATACAATATGACTGTCAAAAACACTTGTTAGATTTCTGTCAGGGACTGTGCCCGGCCCTCTACGTCAGACACCCGGACGTATTTGAGTGTGTGTGGAGGGAATCTGATAAACAGAGGTGACTGTGCTTCCACGGAAAATAAACCAAGACATCCCTTCTCTCGACTCTGCTGCTTTCCTCCACTGTCTGAAATTCCGGAGAGCCAGGCAGAGATTCCATGGGGGGAAACCCGGGAACGATGCAGACGCGATGAACTGGGGGCCACCAACATGCGTTATTCCATTTACTCCTGAGAGAGAGGCATGAGACCTCATTTTACAAGGAGTAGGTTTGGGAGGCGAGTCTTCCTGATTACGAAGACCTGCCCTCAGCAGCCACCTTTGACACTGACTCGGAGGCAGTCTTTATCCTTGGGCAAGTGGTTTCCCACTGAGCCTCGGTTTCCTCATCTGCAAAATGGGCATAAAAATAGTTGTGACCTCACAGCCTTGCAGTGAGAAGGAATGTGGTGATGGCACGTGACTCACAGCCAGCATGGGGTCTGGCCTGGGAACTTGCCAGCATGCTTCCCTCCTCAGCCTGGGAGTTCTGAGCACTCTCCTCCCAAACCAGCTCATCTCCGGGAGCCCTGCCTCTGAGGAAGGTATAAGTTAGGCCAGAGGGGCCCTGGCTGGTGTGGCTTAGGTGGTTGAACATCGTCCCATGCACTGAAAGGTAACCAGTTTGATTCCTGGTCAGGGCACATGCCCAGGTTGGGGATTCAATCCTCAGTTGGGGTGTATACAGGAGGCAACCAATCGATATTTCTCTCACATCAATGTCTCTCTCTCTCTCTCTCTCTCTCTCTCTCTCTCTCTCTCTCTCTCTCTCTCTCTCTCTCTCCGTCTTCCTTTCTTTCTCTAAAACAGCGATCACCAACTGGTGGTCCGTGGACCACTGGTAGTCCATGAGGTCCGAAAGGTTGGCAACTGCTGCTCTAAGAAATCAGTAAAAACATTTTTTTTTCCAGTTAGGGTAGACGTGGCACAGAGGATGCAGGGAACTGCTCCCCAGGGCCCTGTGGAGGAGGGGACCTGTCCCCTTTACTGTCCCCTTCCCAAGGCAGGGCCAGGGCTACAGGTGTATGTAGGTCAGCGTGTTCCAGCCCAGAAGGGTATGGAAGTGGAGGCCTCGCCCAGATGAGGAGGCACCTGTCTAACTACTCCAGCAGCCTGGCCTCCCTTACCTGGTGACAGGTCAGCCCCAGCCTTTTGGGGGAGGCGGGGAGAAAAGAAGAAGGGCTAGAGCTTCCTCCCAACAGATCCAGAGCTGAAAAAAAATGCGCCCCTACTCAATTCAGGAGTCCCTTCCACAGATTGGGCGGGGGGGGGGAGGGGGGGATGGAGAGGGCCTGAGAAAGACAGAAGCCAGACCAGGCACGGCCTTGTTGGCCACAGAGGACGACAGGAAGGGTTCTCTCCCTGCCGTGTGGGCCCACAGACCCATACACCTATGTGGAGACCACCAGAGCAGAGGGGTACAGACAGAATTGTCTCCTGACCCGCAGAGGCACAAAAATACACATGTACACAGAGATGGGCATGCGTGCACCCAGAACGCCACACTTAGCTGTGTATCACGGACGAGCACAGAGAAACTGGCGGGAAGATGTTTACAGACATAGACATGGACAAGCTGATGGGCACAAACAGAACAAGCCCACTGAGAAGCAGACATCCACAGCACACACAGACACACACCGAGCTTCCTGCCTCCCCCAAACCCTGAAGGCTCCCCAGAGAGGCAGAAACCACCTGGTACCTGGAGGAAAGGAACCCGCGCACACTCACCTCCCTTCCTCCTGCCCGAGACAGTGGGCAGCTGGCTCCCCAAAGCCAGGAGGCTCACCAGGAGGAGGAGGCTCCAGGCCCTCATATTTCTGCAGCGGCACCTAATAAGGTCAGGGCCCAGGGGCCCCTAAATTAACACCTGTGGCTCCAGGGAGGCTACAGCAGCTGAGTAAGGGAAGGAAGCTGAGGGGGTGTTGAGTGGCTGCTGGTGGCTGCCTCATCCTGGCCCCACCCCCTGTCTGAAAGCCTCAATGCGAGGGTGCTTTTGCAAGAATGGACGATGGGTGGGGGCTAGGATCCAGGCCTGCCTGTATTGCTGGCTTGGGCTGTGATCCTGAGCAAGTCTTGTTCCTCAATGGGCCTCATTGCTGTCTCCTAAGCTCTCAGGAATCAGGGCCTTATAGTCTATGATCTGATGCTACTTTTTGAATTCTAGCATCCCCTTGGAGGCTTCATTGAGAAGGAGAATTTTATGAGGCTATTTCTTCCCTGATTTTGAAATACACTGTATATTAAAGAAATGCTTTTTCAACTAAGATTATTTTCTAGGCATTTTCCTGGGTGATGAAGTGTCCTCCAGTATCTTCATTTCTAATAGCAACATGGTATTTTGCAAGATTGATACGCCAACACATATATAATCAGTTCCCTTTCGTGGAACATACAGGTTTCCATTTTTTTTCACTCTCATTAAGTAAAGCTGTGACAACAATCTTTGTACATACATTTTGAGTCAGATCTCTGACTATGTTTTTGGGGTAAGTTTGTCAAATTAGAAATGCAAGGCTAGTCAAACTTCCAGTTAAAAATAAATAGGACCTGGGTTTGTAAGGTACAACATGATGACTATAGTTAATAATCATGTATAGAATATTTGACAGTTGCTATGAGAGTAGACCTTAAAAGATCTCATCACAGAAAAAAATTGTAATCATGTGTGGTGACGGAAGTTCACTAGATTTATTGTGGCGAACATTTTGCAATATATACAAATACTGAATCATTATGTTGAACACCTGAAACTAATATAATCTTATATGTCAATTATACCTCAATTAAAAAAGAACCAAACCCCAGAAACGATCAAGCAAACAAACGAAAATGCAACGTCAAAGGGCGGGGCAGTTTTTCAGGCTTTGAATATCCTGAAATTGCATCTCGGAAAACCCACACCTGAAGTAAATGAAAAGTATGGTGATAACCAAAGGGTGAGGGGAGGTAGGCGAGAGTAAAGGGGGGATAATGGGCATATACAGACCACTTGTACTTCTTCTTTTGCCTGCTTCTGTACTTTGCCCATTTTTATTGAGGAACCTTTATTTTTATTATGGAATTTTAAGAGCTGTTTATACATTAAGGATACTACTAACTTGTCGTGCACAGGGAGCAGTATGGGAAGGTGGTTAGCAGGCGTAAGCTGAAGTCAGGCAGACCTGGCTTTGAATAAGTGCCCCCAGTTCGAGCTCTGTGACTTTGAACAAGTTACTTAACATGTTTGCTCTTCTATAAAATAAAAATAATAAAATAGAGGTAATATTTATTTTATAGGATGGTTTTGAGAATTGAATGAGAGGAGCTTGATGAATGTGTGATTCTATCCTCTTTTTTCCCTTTGTACCAATGTTTTCAGTTTTGGGGTAGTTAGCTCAGTCTTTGCATTTGTATTTTCTCCCTTTGTTTTTATGCTGTAAAGTCGTTTTTACGCCAATGCCAGATAATTATTCACTATACTTATAATTCTTTTGTGATTTTTTTTTCTTCCAGAGAGAGAGAAACATAGATGTGAGAGTGAAACATCAATTGGCTGCCTCCTGCACACCACCTACCAGGAATCGAGTTCATAACCTGGACATGTGCCCTGACCTGGGAATTGAACTGGTAACCTTTCAGTGCACCCGCCAATGCCCAAACAACTGAGCCACACCAGCTGGGCTCTCTTGTGATTTTGAAAAACATGTTAATTCTTTAATCCAGCCCAAATTTATTTGGGCATGGGGGGTGAGACAGGGAAATGCCTTTTTTCTAAGTTATTAAGCAATTGTCCTAGTATCATTTAGTAAATAATTCAAACTTTTGCCATTAGTTGGGAATCACAGCTTTTTCAAAAGCTAAAGTTGTGTATGTTCCCCCATGTCCCGCATAGTTCAGGGTTCAGGATCTGGAAGAGGGGCCGCACGCAAATGAAAGAGACGAGACAAGAAATAGTTTGGAAATTGGGCCAGGCGAGAGCCCATCCCAAAAGGCTGGACTCCGCTTGTGCTCAGGCCTTGCCGTCCTTTTATTGAGTTTGGGATACACCTATAACCCTTAGGCAGGCAAGTTCCAGTAACAGGCAGACTATCTTATCAGTAAGGCTTTACATGACTATCTGGTGGGGAAGTTGCTTCAGCTACCATTGTCTGGACTGAACAGTGGGTGCATAGCCCTGACCTTTGCCAGGGCTTCAAGGTCACCAGCCTTCCCGGCTCCTTGTCCACACCTCTCTGCTAGAGAAGGAAATAGGCGGTTTCCTACAAAAGTCTTCTATGTAATGGATTGATTCTGGGTTTTCTGTTCTCTTTTTGACTATTTATTCTCCTGCCTGTACTGCTTGTAATTGTTGCAGCTTCACAACACATTTTAGTGACTGACCATGTCCTATTACCCTTCATTAATCTGCATTTTCAATCATCCATGTCACAAGTATTTCATTCTCCCATATTAACCTTAATATCATTTCTTAAGTTCCCAAAATAAATCTTGTTTTTTGTTAAAAAAAATTATCATAAATTTTTAAAAAATACACAAAAGAACAGTAAATACTTTTAGGAAGAACCCTTCACCCAGGTTCTACAATTAACATTTTCCCAGGCTTAATCAAGATGTAATTGACATATAACATTGTGTAAGTTTAAGGTGTGCAGTGTAATGCTTTGATACACGTATGTATTATGAAATACTTACCACTGTAAGTTAGGTAACACTTGCCTCATCTCACACAATTACCATTTTATTGTTGTTATCATGGTGAGAGCATTAAAGATGTACTCTGAGCAGCCTTCAAGCAGACAATCCAGTATTGATGGTTGTAGTCACCATGCTCGACATTAGATCCCTGGGACTTATTCATCTTATAACTGAGAGTCTCAAAAATTAACATTTTACAACACTTCCTTCATGTATATTCCTACCCCTTTTTGGCTGAAATACTTTCAAATAAATCCAATGTGTCTTACATTTTACCCTTAAATATTTAAATATGAATCTCAAAGAAATAAGGACATTTTCTCACATAATCAGCATGTTTTCATCATACCTAACAAAATCAGCAGTGATGTCTATCACATCATATTCTCCTAGTATTCTATTTCCCTGATTGTTTCCAAAATGACATTGTACAGTTGGTGTGTTTGAGTCAGAATCTAAACAAGGTGCACACATTGCGTTGGTTGTAATGTCTTGTACATTTCTTTCATCTAAAACATTCCCTCCAATCCGACTTCTCCTCCTTCCCTTCCCTCTCCTCCTTCTTCATGCTATTTACTTGTTGAAGAAAAAGAGATGAATTGTTCCCTACAATGTTCCACATTACTTCCCTGTGATATCTTTCAACTTCCTTCTCTATTAGCTCTAGAGGCTCGGTGAGGTTCCAGTTCAACTACCTTGGCACAAACATGTTACAGGTGTGCCTTCTTCATGCATCACCTCAGGGGAAACATGGGTTTCCCGCCCACGTTTAGTGTGGCAAAGAGAGATGAATGCATTTTAGGAGGTATCCCCTCATGCCCGCATTGTAAAGTTATGCTTTCCTATATATAAACAGCAACTAAACTGTGGGGTGATGAGCTGGCCCCCTGTAAATAGCCGGTCCCAGTCAAACTTTCACCTAATGATTTTTGTTATTTTATTGTTGACAGTATTACAGATGTCTCCCATTTTCTCCCTTTTTGCCCCCCTCCACCAAACCCGACCCCACCTAGACCTTCCCCATACTATTGTCCATGAGTTATGCATATACGCATATATGTTCTTTGGTTAATCTCTATTCCCACCTTCCCTAATGATTTGGAAGCCATGGATGATCATTGCCTGAATCAGTGATTTCATTAGTGGACAAAAAACCCACCAGGTGTTTGTTTTGATTTTATTGAAGGTGTAAATTATGTTGGCCAAGATAGACATCTTTACCTTGTGGAAGTTTCCTATTTCAAGAACCTTTAAAACCTTTTTAAAATTATCCTATATAATAAAGGCCTAATATGCTAAGTATCCGGTCGTCCAGTCGTCCATTCAACGAATCAAAGCATAATATATTAATGATATGCTAAGGCCACTCAACCGCTTGCTCTGATGTGCACTGACCACCAGGGGGCAGAAATACTGACTGTTGGTTAGCTTGCTGCTGGGATCTGGCCAATTGGGACTGAGTAAGATGGGCTGGACACACCCTGGAGCCCTCCTGTGGTCCCTCCCCTGCTGGCCAACCTCTTGCATCCCTCCCCGGCCCCAATAATACACTGGTGGGGTCCCTTGGCCTGGCCTGCACCCTCTCGCAATCCGGGACTCCTCCAGGGATGTTGAAGAGTCAGGCCTGGTGTAGGAATTCGTGCACCAGGCCTCTAGTGTAAAATAAAACTTGAAACTATTACATATAAAACAGTCAGAGAGCTGACTCTCTTATCTACCTGCTCTCCCCCTTGTCCAATTTGATAAAAGTTTTATTATTTCTACATTTTCACAGAAGATCATATTTACATACTATTTATTCCACTTTTGCTTTGGAGCTAGTTCTGATTTCAAAATGTTCAGTGCTCAACGATAGTCATTTTGCTAATTTCCACAAATGTTTCTGTCTTTCATTCTTTCCTTTTTATGCATGCCAATGCATACTTTTAAATGATTATCAATCAGTACACCAAGCATGTAACAAGTTCTTGAATTCTATCATCTAGTAACTTTGATTAAGAGATACTAAAAGCAGCCCAAACAATTATATTCATTATTCTAACCCTTAGCCAGAAAGGACTATTTTAAGTCTGGCTACTGTTCTACACAGGCTACAAATAATTATTTACTACTTTTTTTGTTGGTGGTGGTGCCCTGACTGGGTATCAAACCCAAAACCTTTCAGTGTATAGGCCGACACTCATACCAACTGAGCCACACCAGTCAAGGCTATTTACTGCTTTTTCATGGACAAAGCCCCTGACCTTCAAGAAAGGTTTAGGGGGAAAACTTTTTTTATCTCTTTCTTTAGAAATTGGGTTTTTTATTATATCTAAGAGAGAAAAAGTAGCAAAATATATTATTATTGATTTATGTTTATATATTTTTAATATCCTATATAATAAAGACCTAATACGCAAATGGTGGTCACGCCCTCATGCTGTCATGTCATAATGGCTCAGACACTCAACACTGGGGAGAGAGGAATGGGAGAGGGACAAGCCGCCTGCCCCGCAGTCCCGGGTGCCAACGACTATGCCTGCACCTGAGGCCCGGTCCAGAAGAGGGAAAAGCTGCACGCCCTATGGTCCCTGGCACCTGCGGCAACAGCCCAGGCCAACCCACCCACCATGGTCCCCTGTGGCTGCAGCTGGCCCGGGCAAAGCCGGCCCAGGTCCTGGGTGCCTGTGGCCAGCCAGAGGAGGGAATCCTGGGCCTTGGGTGTGGGTCAAGGGCACAATAATTCTCTCTCATCAGTCCAGAAGGGGAGCAGTTAGGGCCGATCAGGCCGGTAGGGGAGCAATTGGGGACTATCAGGCAGGCAGGCAGAGGTACTTAGGGGTGATCAGGTAGGCAGGCAGGCGAGTGGTTAGGAGCCAGCAGTCCTGGGTTGTGAGAGGCAGTCAGACATCCCCCAAGGGGTCTCGGATTGGAGAGGGTGCAGACTGGGCTGAAGGACTGCCCCCACACCCCCCGTGAACAAATTTCATGCACCAGGCCTCTAATATATATATATATATATATATATATATATATATATATATATATATATATATATTAATTACTTGAGTTAAAAGGCATAGGAAAACAATGTATACCTATTAAATTTCTAAGAAACATGAGGTAAAAATGAAATCTTTTGCCCTAGCTGGTTTGGCTCAGTGCATAGAGTGTTGGCCTGCAGACTGAAGGATCCTGGGTTCAATCCCAGTCAAGGGCACAGTAATTCTCTCTCATCATTGATGTTTCTCTCTCTCTCCCTTCCTCTCTGAAATCAATAAAAATATATTTTTTAAAAAGATAAAATCTTGTTATAAGCTCTAAGTTTGTACAAAGAATCTAGATTTTCTATTCTCCAAAAGTAAAAGACCTGCTATATAATAGACAGAAATAACTTAATGCCTTTTCACAGGAATATAACCCAAGTTTTGCAAAAGTTTCCTATTCCATGGAGACATCTAAAATGCCAATCCGTGGAACAGGTGCTTCCGTCTTCATCCCCTCTCCATTTACGCAGTTTTCATGGATTCCTGCTCAGATGTCACAGGCAAAGGCCAAGAGCTTGCCAGGACCTCAGCCTTGCTTTGGGGGAAGTCGGTCTGAAGGATGGTCACCCTCTCCTGGGTGTCCTCCACTTCCCTGCAGCAATTCTGGGGATCCCAGAGCCTTGGCTCCCTTGGCCTTGAGCTCCATCTCCCTCTGCAGGCCGTACTGTGCAATTTCAGCCTGAGCCTCTGACCTGCTTCAGCCTCAGTTCATTTCACGCGCTGACCTCCTCCACCTTTTCCACAAAGGTTTCTTGTTGAATCAACCTTGCCATTACCAGCAGAGTGTGGATATCCCTTCATCCCGTTCCTCTTTTTCATCTATAAGTACAGGCATATGTGGGAGTTTTATGTGTTTCTCCTGAAATACCAAATCACAGATTCCGCTCTCCAACGTGGTTTTTCTACTGGTTAGATTTTATGGACATCTCCAGAAGCCAATACACAGAGATCCAGTGACAGTTGTTCTTTTTCTAAGATATTTATAAATATAGTAGGATACATCAGACCTTATGAGTTTTTTGGTGAAGCAATATTTATTTTCCTTGCCTTCTCCCTCCTGTCCCACCTCTTTATCCTCCCATCAACCACTCAGGAACCTATGTTGATATTATGATGTGCAGTCTTCTTACTATAACCATAGCTATCTATGTAATGTAACCATATTGAAAACATACTCTCACTCTGTGCAAGCACCTGATTTTAGACCCTCTGTCCTATTTCATTTGCATATTTACCTATCATTGTTCTAAAACCACTTTATTGTAATTTCTACAGCTTTAAAAGAAACCTTGAGAGCTGCTATATTAATGTCTTATGAAATTGTTCTTATTCAAGAGTATCTTGGCTATATTGCCTTTTGCATGTTTTTGTGTACATTTTAGAATCATACTGCCAAGTTTTGGCTTACTTTTACATAAACCTTTCTGGGGGTTTAATTGGGATTGCATTGAATCTAAAAATCAGTTTGAAGGGAACTGGCACCTTTATCATATTAAATCTTCCAATCCATGAGCATGGTATACTTCTCTAATTGGGAGTGTTAAAAAAAGTCGCTTACTAACATTTTATAATTTTCTCTATAGCTGTCTTGCACAGAATGTATTAAATTTATTTATAAGCTCCTTGCATTTTTATGATTGTAAAAATCATTCAAATTTCATTTACTGGTTTACTACCCAATAATTAGTCTATTTTCTTCTCTGTCTCAGTTGAATTCAACTCAGTCATATCTGCATTTCAGGTTCTGTCCCTGGTAACACCCATCTTCTGGGTATTAGTTTCTATTACTCTCAAGTTTGGTAGCTATGACAAAATACCAACTCAGACTAGCTTAGGCAGAAAGCTAGTTTATTGGGTCATAACCCAACTGTGGGAAGAGTGTGGGATGAGTTGCTCGAAAAAGGGGCATGAATAGTGGGCTGGTGCCTTCTGAATCCTCTCTTACACTTTCTCTCTGCTTCTATTAGTGTATTAATTAGGTTCATTTTTCTCCCACAATCAAACTCCTCCCAGGCTGGAACCATCTCCTGGAGTTCCCGGGCTCATATCTAGCGTGTTAATTAAAAGAAGGGGCTTCCCTCCTCCCCTTAATGTCCATTCAAGGAATGAACTTCAATATACCTAAAGTTCAATAGAGCCACACAAACACACATCCTTACTTTCACGATTAGCAGTCCCCATTAGACTCTTAAGCTGATGACACAAGAATTCTTCAACAGAAATAGGGTGCTCTTCTCAGAAGGAGGAAAGCACAGGAGATGCCCACCTTATAGATGATTTCTATTTTCTACCTGTTACTTTTCTGGGTGTTTTCTTCTCATTGTGATTTCTGGGCATCACCCCCTTCCACCTCTAGACTGCCACCTTTCTCTTTACTTTTTTGGTGCGTTTCAGAGGCTACCCATGAAATGGCAAAGTGCAGTGATTAGCCATTAGACTTTTAAGGCAAATTTGCCTTTTGAGGGTTGTTGTTTTGTTTTCAAAGCCTGGGGAGAATGGAAGAGAAGCCCAGCTTGATGCTGGCAGGTAAACTGTTTGGGTGGGCCTGGCAGGAGCAGGGAGTAATGGGAGAAGGCCTCGGTTCTGGAATCTGAACACAGGACCACTGACTTGCTGAATGACCTTGGGTGATTTCTGTCTTTCCTCTGGGCTTCATATCCTTTCTAAATATAAAGGATTTGGTGGTGATGGTGTCCCCATGAGAAAGTAGGACAGCTCTTGGCCCTATCATAGGTGATGTAACACAGTGGCTGCCATTTCCCTCTGTGAATAGTCTTTGGGGAAAGCCCAAGGTCCCTCCCAGGCTGGGGGTGGATAGTTCCTGGTAGAAACACAAAAATGTAGGTCCTGTCCCTTGTAAAACCACAGACCCGCCCTTGGCACCAGGCCAAGTGGTGGCTACATAAATTAGGTTTGGCCTCAGCCCTTAGCCACACACCCTCCTGACAACATGAGACCCAGCAGCTTCTTGGTTCTGGCGCTTCTCCTCGTCCTCGGCATGCTGGTGGGACAGGCAGCTGTCAGTGGAGGTGAGTGGGCAAGTGGCCCGGCTAGGGTTGGGTTGGGTTGAGGAGAGGCTGTCAGGGGCAACCTGGTTGCTGACAGGAAGCACTTCTGGAGCAACAGGCAGGGCTTAGGCCTTCACTTCAGCCTCTGGTCACTTCCATTGTATCCAGATAAAGTAGGAAGTTGTCCAGCTTTTCACCCCAGGACTGAGATAGGAAGACTGTGGGAGAAGTGTTGTTATGTGGCCTTGGCCTTAGACATTGGGACTTCTGCACAATGAAGTGAGGAGTCCCGGGAATCTGGGCCCTGGTGTAGGGTCTGTCCCCTGTCTGTCTGCCCTGTAAAATCACCTGAGACTAATCAGTCCTCTAAGAGGAGGTTAAGAACCTGCAAGGCCTCAGAAAGCATGTAATTTGAAGAAGACCACCATTTTACTAAGGAGGACACTGAGACCTAGAGAGGGTGAGGAATTGTCAAGGCAATCTCCAGAGCCAGGAGGAGCTCAGGTCTCCTGGCATGTGTCTTGGAGCTCTCCCCGCAGAAGTGGCAATGTATCCTTCTCACTTCTTGGAGTCACTCCAGTCTGGCATCGCCTCCTGAGCACCGGACTTGGAATGGAGGGATGGCAAACTGTGGTCCTGTAGACCCTTCCCCAAAGCTCAGGGGATAGCCTTCCAAGAGCACAAACCCGAGTTAGCCTTGGTGATCCTCCTCCACCTCAGATCTTAATTTGGGGGACACTGGAGTGAGCAGTGACTGGACCAAGAAGAAACAAGGTAGTTGAAAGAGGGAGATGGTGTCTAACTATGGGTACATTTCTTCTTTCAACAGTTTCTTATAAAGGTCAAGAAGCTGACCAAGTTCTGGCCAAAGGACAAGTTACACGTCCAGGCAAGGGGCCTGGTCCAGTCAAACTTCCATCAAAAGTTCCCTCTAAGCCTGGCTCCTGCCCCAGGATTCTGATGAAGTGCGCCATGATGAATCCCCCTAACGCCTGTATGAGGGACTCTCAATGCTCCGGGAACAAGAAGTGCTGTATGGGCTCCTGTGGAAGAGTCTGTATGAGGCCCAAGAACTGAATGGAGGAAGAGGTAACTCCCGGGGGCACAGAGAAAGCTGAGTGGTGGGAAATGACCCTTGGTTCTTGCGAGGGAGGGTACTGGAAGGTGATGGGGAAGCTGAGGGGTCTCAGAGGCTGGACCTGGGCTTCTTAGAGGAGGGCCGTGTGGGCTTGACCCGATCTGTCACTGCCTCTGACCTGCTGACTCATAGCTCTGGTTCTCCTCTGTCCTGCCAGGTGGAGCCTGCTCTTGCTGCACCGGTGAAGACCCAGGACTGCAGTCCCCGGTCCCTACAGCATTTGAATGCCTTTCTCACAGGGCTCGTTCTTCCTCTCACCGAGGCTGCCTAAACCTGGGCTGCTTCTCTCAGTGATTTCCTAATAAAAGACTGCTTTCTACTCCATTTGTTTGGCTCCTATGACTTCTATGCTCCTGGAAGCTCCTGGAGGTGGGTGTGGAGTTGGGATTCCCTCTCCCCAGTGAGGGTGGGGCGAGAGGGCTCCGTGGGAGCTGTTCCTGGTGGAAGGAGAGCGGAGGCAGGAGCAAGAGGCCCCACTCCCAGGGATTAATATTAGAAATCCAATAAACAACCCAAGAACTATATTCTCCGTATCACCAGGAAATGGAAATCTGGAAATTTCACTTGTTCACGCTCAGGATGCCTCCATTAACACATACTCCCTTTGGATTAAGCAATATCCTCTCCCAACTTTAGATTTTAGGATGTGAATGAGGAGACAAGACCCTCCAAGTCCTTAATCCTTTAGTAGGAATGTGGAATAGTGTTCTCTGGAGATATAAAGTTGGGGGCAGAGCAGATCCAAGTAGTGACGAGAATGGGGAGTATTTGATGGGCAAACTTGAATGACCTTGTGGCTCTGTTGTTAGCCCCACTGCCCTTGGACAAGGAAGCTCTCTGGAGGCCAAAGCCACAGGAGGAGGAGGAGCATTTTGGGTGGAGTGGGAAAAGCACAGGCTTGGGAGTCAGTGAGCTGAGTTCTAGCCCAGCTTTGCCACCTCTGAAAGACTCCCCAGTCACCATGAAATTGTCCCTGGGAAAGTGCTATCTCATAACAAGCTAGACAGCAAGACTTACCTTCTGCCAGTTACTCCATCAGCAATAATTTATTTCACAAGGTCGCTTTTGATGAACCCGAATTATCTTTCTGCCTCGATTTCAATCACAGCCTACATTCTCAGCCTTTTCACACTAGATGGTACTATGTCTTCCCTTTCTGCAGCTTGGTATTTTTATGGAGACACAAATTCATCCACAATATCTGTGCTCCTGGAAGCTCCCATAATCTTTTACTCTTGAGTCACAGTACAGCATACCATTGCTGCTTCTGGGCACTTCAATTGATGTCGCATCCTGTCCAGCCAGCATTGCCAAAGCCTTGGACATCACTTCCATGCCTCTTCCTGGAAGTGAGATGCTGCAGCCATTGGATGCTGGATTAAAGTCCATCCTTCCTCTGTGTCTGCTTTTACCATCACTAGTCCTCACATCTGTGACGGAGCCTATGCATGTGTTGTCTGAACCAGGACCTGTGCACATGGGGTGGCTGCAGAGGAGGCAGGGAGAGCGGGCACCTGGACCTTCCAGCTCCCATGGGGGACATGGGCTCAGCTTCCCACTCCTGAGACTGACCTGGTGAATATGCTCTAATTGTAGGAACAGCGTTTATATACATAGCAGTCAAGAAATGAAGGTTGGCCCTGGCCGATGTGGCTCAGTTGGTTAGATGTTGTCCCATGCGCTGAAAGGTCCTGGTTTGATTCCTAGTCAGGGCACATACCAACATACCAGGTTGTGGGTTTGATACCCAATCAGGGTGCATATGGGAAACAACAACAATCAATGTCTCTCTCTCTCTCTCTCTCTCTCTCTCTCTCTCTCTCTCTCTCTCTCTCTTTCTTCCTCTATCAAAATCAATTTTTAAAAATATATTTTAAAAAAATGAAATGAAAGTTGTCTAAACCAATCTCATGCCAACTGTGAGCACTGGGGCAGCTGCTCTGACCTTCCCTCCATTTCATCTTCTCGCCCCAGCTTCTGGCCTCAAGTTTAACCGATGATAAAAAGGAAGGAAATTGGAGCTAGTAAGGCTTCCAAGGCCTCATGGCCGATATTCACTAACCCCCTAATGCCTCATAAAAGGCTCTTTCAAGTCTGCATGAAGTGAAGGGGCAAGAGCTAGAATGACGGGGAAGTGAAGTTCTGAGCTGCATGATATTAGTGGAAAAACCGCAGCTGCTAGCTGAAGTGCCCAGGATGAGCACCACAGCCTTAAAGTTCCTGGCTATTTGGGAGCAGCTCAGCAGCTACCACGCTCCTCCCAGAGACACTGCGTCCTCCAGCAGAGGAGTTTCTGCTGAGCTGTAACCCGGATGTTACACCTGCGGGCTCTGTTGTGTGTGCACCCGAGGGGTGAGCAGCCAGGGTCACTGATAATGACTGGACATTCTTTGGCCCCTTCTGAGGCTCTCCTTGTCCAGAACCTCCTCATATGAGGAGACTCTGTTCTAGCCAGCCATGTGTGTCTGCCCCCAGGACTCCAGCGTGACAAGGGTCATGCTCAGACCACTTGTTTCTCAGGTTGTCCCAGGGGCCTGAGCCACAATCTTCCACTGAATTTGGAATTGAAAGTACCCGCTGACATAATCCAGATCTTCATCTTGCAGATGGGGAAACCGATTTCTACGGGTGTCATCAAAGTTCACACTAGGCATCAAGGGCAGAGCTGAGGCCGGGAACTGCCTGCCCTAATATGCTTGTTCTCTTTCTATAGGATGTTGTAAGTCAGGAGGACTAGTAGCCTTTAAAAAAAAAAAGGCTTGTTGATCTATTCATTTTACCTGAACCAGAAATGAAGTTCATAGCAAGAATTCCAGGATAATAGAATGATTCGAACCAAAGTGGAGAATCAAAGATAATGTAATTTGGGGAGAAGATAAGACCAATTAAACTGTAAATGGACACTCCATAAAAGGCCAAGTGTCCTGCATCATTTTGGTGTCCTGTCAATAATCTTTCTGCTCCTCTAAATCCTGGCAGCATTTCCCTTCTGGGGGAAGATCTGAAATATGACCAGAGTTGTGCTTTCTTTCTTTTTTTTTTTTTTTAAATATATTTTATTGATTTTTTACAGAGAGGAAGGGAGAGAGAGCTAGAAACATCAATGAGAGAGAAACATCGATCAGCTGCCTCCTGCACATCTCCCACTGGGGACGTGCTCGCAACCCAGGTACATGCCCCTGACCGGAATCGAACCCGGGACCCTTCAGTCCGCAGGCCGACGCTCTATCCACTGAGCCAAACCGGCCTTGGCCAGAGTTGTGCTTTCAATGGCTTGTAATTTGGAAACTGTGTTTAACAAGTTGTTTCCTGTTCATTCTTCTATGAGAGTGATGGAAGAGAAGTGTCCAAAGGAGATCTGAGAATTTCAAACAAACAAAACAAAAATCTTGGTGTGTGTATTGGATGAAGTCCACAAATTGACGAATGGGCATTATCAGATGGGACGTCAGTAGGTAAGAACACGATGATTTTTTTTAACTAATGGCTTCAGTCTTTTAGTACACTGAGCACTTGCCACTGGTATTTACTGATCCAGGCAAAGAAATTAATCATGCTTGGCCTTTTTTTTTTTTCATTTACAACATTAACAATACATATATGTTTTTAAATGTCTTTTCCATAAAGTAAATGGCCTTAATGCAGATAGCAGTTATCAGTTAACCTGAGCTCCTACGTTGAGAGGGGGGGTGTCAGTCCAGATCCAGTGAACCTGATTTTGCTGATGACTATTAGCCAGTTTACATACCGGTTGTTTGTATAGTGAATATTTCAGACTGTGCCTATAAAAATTTTATTGATGTTCACAGGCATTCTAGCCATCAGAGCTGGTGCAGGAGTGGTAGCTGCCATGTTTTAACCACTGTTTCTCCCCTTCATGACATGAAGATTCATTTTCATTGTTTGAACTAGGATCTTCCTGTGGCTGAGGTTTTTTGTTTTTTTTTAATTACATCTTTATTGTTCAGATTATTACATTTGTTCCTCTTTTTTCCCCCCATAACTCCCCTCCTCCCAGTTCCTGCCCCACCCTCCGCCTTCACTCCCCACCCACTGTCCTCATCCATAGGTGCACGATTTTTGTCCAGTCTCTTCCCGCATCTCCCACACCCCTTTCCCCCCCAAGAATAGTCAGTCCATTCCCTTTCTATGTCCCTGATTCTATTATGATCACCAGATTATTTATTCACTTGATTCTTAGATTCACTTGTTGATAGATGCATGTTTGTTGTTCATAATTTGTATCTTTACCTTTTTTCTTCTTCTTCCTCTTCTTAAAGAATACCTTTCAGCATTTCATATAATCCTGGTTTGGTGGTGATGAACTCCTTTAGCTTTTCCTTATCTGTGAAGCTCTTTATCTGACCTTCAGTTCTGAATGATAGCTTTGCTGGATAAAGTAATCTTGGTTGTAGGTTCTTGGTATTCATCACTGAATATTTCTTGCCACTCCCTTCTGGCCTGCAAAGTTTCTGTTGAGAAATCAGCTGACAGTCGTATGGTTATTCCCTTGTAGGTAACTGAGTTTCTTTCTCTTGCTGCTTTTAAGATTCTCTCTTTGTCTTTTGCTCTTGGCATTTTAATTATGATGTGTCTTGGTGTGGTCCTCTTTGGATTCCTTTTGTTTGGGGTTCTCTGCGCTTCCTGGACCTGTAAGTCTATTTCTTTCACCAGGTGGGGGAAGTTTTCTGTCATTATTTCTTCAAATAGGTTTTCAATATCTTGCTCTCTCTCATCTTCTGGTACCCCTATAATTCTGATGCTGGTACGCTTGAAGCTG